TCCACGTCGGCGTTCTTGCAGGCGCCGGCGTAGCGAGCCACGGCGTCGCAGAGCTCGGACAGGTTGCCGCCACTCTGGCAGAGGCGGAAGAGGCAGGTGCGGTAGTAGGCGGTGGCGTTGACCACGCCGTGGCACTCCAGGAACGAGCTGTTGGACGGGTCGTTGATGACGCCGCAGCGCGCGCGGCTGCGGTAGAGCTTGAGCAGCTCTGAGTCGTTGCCGCAGGCCTTGAGCAGGTCCCCGCACTCGCCGTTGCAGATCTCCTCGAAGGTGGTCCAGCTCTCCAGGAACACGGCCAGGTTGTCCGTGCACTTGCCGTTGGGGAGGCAGAACTCGTCGCTGGCGTTGGCGTTGAAGAAGCCGCACAGGCCGCCGGTGCAGTTGAAGTAGACGGTGGACAGGCGCACGTACAGCAGCCCCGAGGCCCAGTACTGCACGCTCACCACGCCCTTGGACTCCACCGTCGTGCTGTTCTGGGTCTGGTGAACCTCCAGCTTCCCCGAGAAGTGGAAGAAAGGCAGTTCCACCTCCTGGCCGTTCACCTGCAAGAGCAGGCCCCGCGGTCAGTGCCCGCGCAGGGGCCAGAGGCCGGGCGGGACTAGCCAGCCCTGCAGGAGCCGCAGACAGGCAGCTGGACTCACAGAGGATCGTTGTGCCTTTGTTGCTGGACCCTCTGACACAGCACATTCGCTGTGTATGTCCTTAGGGACGGACGCTCAGCTGGCCCCAAACCAAAGGGAAATGGGCGCAGGTGTCCTCCCCGCGCGGCTGCCGCCAGCCGCCTGTCCACAGACAGAGCCCCTTCCCCCAGCTCCCGGCTCCTCCCTTCCCCTTTGGGCCTGGCTTTGCCTGTGCCCCTCGCCCCCGCATGTGGTGCGTGTCTCATTATCTTGCTGTCCATCCACCTGTCTGTTCTTTTAATAAATGAGTCCCTGCAGTGTCAGTAGGGATGAAACACAGTCCTTTTCGTCTGTGGGTGTGTTTTATGTCCTGTGCTGTGCTGCTTCCACTTCTGTTTCCTAAATGAAACGTCATGTGATGTTAAGAAATGCATGTCGGACTGGGAGGAGGGAGCCGCTCCCCCACCCCTCCTGTCACTCCAGCTCGACCACTACGTACCTGTGAGGCCCCATTTCTGAGGTAGCCTGTTGGGATCTTTATGTAGAAAAGAGGAGCTGCACTAGATTATTCCTACAATTCCTCCTAGAACTAATCATCTGTAAGTATAGATGCCTAATCCTGGGTGTTTTAGACTAGGTCCGAGGGGCAAGAGGTGCCGTGGTGGGCACCCTTTGCCTCACCCCATATAGATTCCTGTTATAGGCAGGAGAGTCAGTATAGGACAGGGCCTGCCTGGGCTTGACTCTTGTGGCTGTGTGTCCCTGAGGAAGTTACTAAACCTCTCTGTGCCTCAGTTTTCTCATCTGTAAAATGAGGATAATAAAATATACTTGATAGGATTAAATGTGATACTGCTGCCTGGCCCGCATGACTCAGTGATTGAGCATCCACTTGTGAACCAGGAGGTCACAGTGTGATTTCCTGTCATGGTACGTGTCTGGGTTGCAGTCTCGATCCCCAGTGTGGGGCTTACAGGAGGCAGCTGATCAATGATTCTCTATCATCATTGATGTTTCTCTCTCCCTTCTCCCTTCCTCTCTGAAATAAACATATTTAAAATAAATAAATGTGATACTAGTTAGAGTAGTGCTTGGCACATCGGACAGGTCCTATGAGTGTTTGCTATTCTGAAGAGCTGGTCCTGCTACATCTGTCTGGTTCCCTCCATTTTCCACCTAGTGGACTCTTATTCGGTGCCCGTAGTTAGACAATGTTTGCATTTTTGGAGTCACTGACTTTCTAGAATCCACTCCTGGTCAGAGGCAAACAGGCAAACCTGAAGGACACGCTCAGCCTGTGACTCTGGGAAGCCCTCGGGCAGCAGGGGTCTTACCTTGACTTCCGAGGCCCCGACCCCTCCGATCTTGACCTCCTGGTTGGCCACCAGGATCCGGAGGCCTCGCAGCCCGGCAGGCCCTCCGTCGGGCTTCTTCTTGTTGATGTCGATCTCCAAGTACTCGGGCTGCTCGGGGCAGGTCCTGAGCACCGTGTAGGAGAACTCAGCGGGGAAGGCGAAGGCAGCGCCATCGAAGGTGTGCAGCACCTGGTCCTGGCTGAGCAGGCACACGGTCTCGCGCCGGGGGAAGCAGCCGCGGTGGCCCTGCTCCACGGTGCACACCTCGTCGGCACGGCAGGTCCGGTTGAAGCAGTACACGTCGCCGCCCTCCTCGCACAGGCACTGCACTGTGCAGTTGGCCGTGGCCCAGAAGAACTCCCCCAGAGTGTAGTAGCGGCCGTCGAAGTCGCAGCCGCACTCGTGCAGTGGGACGCACTGGCTGGCACTGAGGACGAAGCCATCATTGCACTCACAGCCCTCTGTGCAGGGCGAGGCGCAGGTCTGCGAGGCCGTGAGGTCCGCGCACGTGTCCGGGCAGCTGCTGGTGCACACAGAATAGTGGCTGAAGCTGGGGCACTGCACCGTAGATACTGGTGTGGGGAGAGAAGAAAGTAGGACAGCAAGGTCAGTGACCTGGGGGATGAAGCTGGGAGCCACATGCATGCACAGGGGCCACAGGAGTCACATGCACCAGAGCCTGGAGGAAAAGCACTCCTCCCACTTCACTCCCAGAATGAGGGCCGAGTAGGAAGAGAAGCTGGAGGCTGTGTCTGTGGAAACAAACTTAGCTGCTTCCCTAGTAACCATGGAGCCTGGGGACGCACTTGTGGACTTTGGCTCTCATCCCACCATCTTGACCGAAATTAAACGGCAGGTGTCCATCCTAACCAGACTGTAGATTATTCAACATAGATTTGTTGTTTGGTGACCTACAACCATTAAGCTATTTTAAGATCTTCAACTGATGGGCATATAAGTTGTTCTGATTTTAAAGGGCATGGCCCATTCTTAGGAGGAAATACATTCAACTTGTAGGAGAAATGAAAAAAAGTAACTGTTAGAGAAGTAATTTGAAAACATCAAATTCCTAACAGAGACCAAAGAAGACTGGGACCATGGATCCTCTGGCACACGGGGAATAAGGAAGCGCCTGGCGATCTGCACAGACTTGTGTCTGGGCTGCAAGTAGGACCAGTGCCGTCTGATGGCCCCTCTGGCCTTAGAGACGGTCCGTTCTCACTTTAAGGATATCAGAGTCTATGTCAACGTCTTGATTGGGTTGATTCCAACAGGCAGGGCTCAAGGGCCTGATAAACTAGCTCCTTAATTCAATATGATTCATCCCCCGCTGACCTTAGAGAGAGGGAGAGGGAGGGAAGGGGGAGGGAGGGAGAGAAGGAGAGAGAGGAGAGAGAGAAATGTGGAAAGTAGTACCACTGGACAAAATAGTCATTCTAGGCAAGAATTTGGTTGGCAGTTTGGATGTTCTTGGACTATAAAAGGATCAAAGAAACGCCAAATTCAATTTAAGTTTAATCAGAACTTGGATGCTCCAGACATAATAGACTGGCCAGTTTAAGGAAAAGGAGTACACTTTGTCTTAGTGGTGTGACCGGTACTCAAAGAAATGAATCTGATACATGGTGATGGATGTGAATTCAACCTATACTGGTGAATGAACATCTCACTCTGGCCTTGGAACTTACATTTTTAAATCTTCTCACCTCCGTAGCACTCTCAAATGCATGGATTAGAATTTCCTGTTTCCTCATATGGAGAAAACCAAGGACCAGGAAAGAAACAAAATTCCGAGTGGCTTGTCTCTGTTTGCTTGTTCTAAAAGTTTGCATAACTAGGAAAGGAGGCGGGGTTTAAGTGGGCCAGAAGGAAAGAAAAACGAGATAACTAAATGGTACAAAATGCTTCGTCCAAAAGGGTAATTCAAAGGAAACCGCTTCCCCACGATGCTGGGCCCAGCCTCACACGGGCATTTCAGCAAAAGGGCTTCTCCCTGGCCTGCCTGCTTCCTCTGGTACCTCCTCCTCCACCACCAGCAGCAGGTCAGCTGCGAGCGAGAGACACAGAACTAAAGGGGCTGAACGTGGGGGAGAGCGAGCCGGGGACAAAGGCTATTGGTCCTGTGGGAAGTGCGTCACTGACCAAAGGCTGGTTTGACCACACGGCCAATGTCTGCATTTACTCAGCAGCCACCTGCACCTCTGAAAGCCCCTCCTGCTGGACTCTGAGACGGCCCCCTGCTGCAGGGCCTTCCTCGCCAAGCATTCCTGCCACGCCTTTCATGTTCCCAGACCATTTAGGCTCATCAGTAGTTTCTGGCTATCGTATCAGGTGGGGTACACGTAAAGATCCTTTTACACTTCGTTCTTTCTCTTGTTTTGTTTTGTTAATCCTCACCTGAGGATATTTTTCCATTGAATTTTAGGGAGAGTGGAAGAGAGAGGGAAAGACAGAGAAACATCGATGTGAGAGAAACACATCGATTGGTTCCTCTTGCACATGCCCTGACCAGGGCCTGGGCTGGGGAGAAGCCTGCAACTGAGGTACGTGCCCTTGACTGGAATCAAACCCGGGACCCTTTGGTCTGCAGGCCGATGCTCTATCCACTGAGCCAAACTGGCCAGGGCCAGTTCATTCTTTATAATTTGTGATATTTCAACCTCACCTCCACTGTTGGAAAATCCTAACAAGGAGGTTTCCCAGGAGCCCTCTCCCTGTCCTCCTAGTGGGATGGGACGTCCGCTTACCACACCCAGTCTGGAGGCGCCAGTCTCCGATCGGAATGCCGAGGGCTTGGCACACGAGGGCATAGGCCTGGATGGCTTGGCAGAGGAGAGTCCCGTTGTCCCTCACGCTGCACAGGTCATACACGCAGCTGTGCACGAAGGCCGTGGGGTCCACCACGGTGCCGCACTCCCACAGGGGCCCGTCTGTCTTGTTGAGGAAGCCGCAGTAGTCGGGGCCGAAGTACAGGGCCTCGGTGGCCGTGTCGCACTGGGTGCAGTTGTCCACGCAGCCCGAGTCGCATAGCCACTCAGCATGGTAGACCCGCCAGCTCTCTCCCAGATCCAGCACAGACATGGCCGGCCTACCGTCCGGGCGGAGGAAGTCGTCCAGCGGGTTCTTGTTGTAGTTCCCACAGAGCCCGCACGTGGAGTTGGTGTAGGAGCCCGGGATGGAGATGGAGGCGTAGTGCTGGCCATCAAACGTCACTAAGAGCCCAAAATCTGTTTCCACGGCAGTGGACATGCCACTCTGGTAGATTTTCACAGCCCCCAAGTCTAAGGTGATGGGCAAAGAAGTCACTAGATCATTCACCTGCCAACAACAATGACAGCAAAAGGCAGGTGAGCCAGGGCCGGGCATTGGTTCCAGCCAGTGTCAGGAAGGGAAGGCAGGTGACTCAGCGCCACAGGGAGCACGGTGCCCCACTGCCTGGGCTCTGGGCTGGCCTCCTAGGAAGGTGCAGGCCTGGGGAACCCTCGAGGCCAGGCTGGTGTGGGCCAGCTGAGCACTGGGTGACCCTGAAGCTGTGACAAACGCACATTGCTAGTGCCACTCTGGACTTCTTGGGGTCCAGGTGGTTGTCACTCTTCCTGCTGGCTCCAGGGCTAGCTAGCTTCAAGTCTCTTCTTGAAAAACTAGTTGCCTCATCTTCCCTCTTTATTCCTCTAAATCCAATCTTTAAATCCTAGCTGAAGTCACTATTTTCCATTCCACCCTTAGTGCACTCAGCACTCCCGGCCCTCCTCCCGCTGACGGCGTGCTGGAAACTGCTCCCCATGACGCAGTGTCGAGACTGTCCTGGTGTTATTTTCCAGCTGTTTTGCCCTGTCATTTCCTGGTATCAGGATTATTCAACAACAACAAATGTGAGCACTGTGTTAGGAGTTGAGAAATAAGGAATAAAAAAGAGGATTGCCCCTGCCTCTCCCGAGCGCTCAGTCCCCCGGGGAAGAGGGCCAGGGATGGTATTTATAATACACGGTTTGAAGTATGTGTTAATAGGTGATGCAATGGGAGAACAGGACATGAATACGTAATCCAGCCTGAGGAAGCCATAGAAAGCTTTCCAGTTGGAATCAAGTCTAACCTGGGTCTTTAAAGAGAAACAGAAGTGGCCAAAGGAAGGCTGGGGGCAGGGAATTCTGGGATAAAAGAATAAAGGCAGGTGGGATGGGCATCGGGGCGTTACTGGGCAGCAGAGAGAAGGGGTAAACAGAAATGAAGCTGGAGATGGGGGCGTGGCCCATTCACTCAGCACATACCAACTCAGCCTTTTCTGGGTACTAAGCCCTGTCCTAAGAGCCGGGGGTTACCAACAAGTGGAAATCCTTGCATCGCGGAGCTTATATTTCAGTTGAAGAGACCAACAACAAACAAAATAAACAGGAAAAAATATGTAAGTATGTCAGAAAAATGTTCTGCAGGAAATAAAGCAGGGAACGTGGGTCAAAAGTAGTAGGAAAGAGGGTTTCTAATTTCAAATAGGGTCATCAGGGAAGACTTCGCCGGGAAAGGGACGTCTGAGGTGAGGAAGCAAACCATGCTGTCATCTGCGGTGAAAGTGGCTCATGAAGCGTGGACAGCCAGGCCCTGAGGGGTAGTGTGAGGGACTCCCAGGGCCGGTGTGACAGTAATGGAGAGAGCAAGGCGATGGCCGATAATGCCAAAGAGAGAAGAGCAGCCAGAACAGGCAGAGCCACTCAGCTACTGTGAAGACCTCGGCTTTGAGCAAGATGAAGTTAAGAGGGTGCCTAGAGCAAAGGATCAACATGATCTGACTTCCATGTTTAGAAAATGGCTTGGGCTTCTGTGTTGGAAAAAGGCCTTGGAGTGCCTTTAAAGCCGTGCTTTAAAACCAAACAAAATCCCACAGAAATGAAACCCAAAAAACTTGCATTTCTCTTCTTTAAGGAGAGTCCACAAAGGTTTAGAAAAAGGAAATGACATAGTCAGACTTGCATTTCAGAAAGTCCATGCCGGCCAGCATGAAGGACACAACGATGTATGTCAAAATTAGAAGCAGAGCAACCAGATGGACAACTGCTGCTAGAACCCAGGGGTGATGGCAGATGAGGGTCTAACCTGCGTAATTACATGAAGAAAGAGGGATAGTCATGGGGTGCACTCAGCAGGAGCTGGTGGGGTTTTGTAGTGAGGAGTGAGAAATGGGGGGAGAATCAAGAGTGAGGCCCAAAAGCCTGGCTCACTTGAGCAGGTGGCTTGATTAAGTCTCCAACAGGAGAGTGAATTGTCTTCTCTTTCACACTTAACATGCCTAGAACCTACAGAGGTCACATTCGTGGGCTGAGGTTGAATGGCAAGTCCATGGTGGAACTGACTGTAAGTGCATGTACGCTTCCCAAGCTGATTTCTGGCAGACAAGGATAAGGGTCTTCTGAATTGTCTAGGAGGTGAGACAACAGACTGTCCAAGATCACTCCCAAGAGTTACCATGGCACTATCATGTGCAATTCTCTGTCTCTATACTTAAGGGGGGAAAGAGACAAGAAAAATATACTCAAGAAATAAGTTGTCCAGAGATCAAAGATGGCAGCAGAGTAGGTGGCAGCTACACTCACTTCCTCCCAGGACCAAACTGGAACTACAACTGAAGTCTAGAGCAATCATCATAAATAACCAACTGAACAGAAGTCTCATAACCAAGGATGTACAGAAGAAGCCACATCGAGACAGTAGGAAAGGTGGCAACACATGAAGGGCTGGCCCTGCTCCCACGGTCAGTGGCTGAGATTCTGAGGGGCATTTCAGGTGCAAAGGTTCCCTCTAAGGAACATGGGTCGCAACCTGGTGCCAGGCTCCCAAGCCCAGAGCCCCAGAGCTGGGATGAGGCACCCACAGAACATCTGGCTGTGAAAATCAGCAGGGGCCTGTCTGCCAGGGAGAGAGGGGAGTCTGCTAGAGACACAGGCACCCTTTTAAAGGGCCAGTGCACAAAATCTCGTTTGCAGCCACTTACCTTGGGCTCAGGGAGAAGCAGACTAGAGTCTTGTGAAGAAAGACTGCGGATTGTGGCTCTAAGGAGAGAGCTGAAGGGACGGCCACCAAGATCCCAGTGCTGAGTCCCTCTCCCACACCACAGACACCAACTTTCTTGGGTGGAGCACTCCCCTCCTTGCAGCATCAGCCGACAGAGCGTGTGCCCTGCTGAGGAGTCAGTTGCCTGGGCCCAGGGGTAGAGATCAGGACATATTCAAGGGGTGTCAGTGAGAGAGCAGTGTGGCTTTGGGGTGGTGGACTTTCTCTTCACTTTCCTGTGAAACTGACTGGCGCCTGCCTTTCATAGGAGATCTGCTAGCCCCACCCTCCCGACTCCTGGTCACCACACCCTGCTGAGCATGGGCTGCCCAGGAGGTCTGTACAAATCCAAGACAGACTGAGTTGTGTGGCTGTGGGGCAAGGGCCACCCCCACCTTTCCCCAAGCCTCATCTGCACCTCACCCTCTGAAAAGATCCACTAGCCCAGTGGGTCGGCAAACTGCGGCTCGCAAGCCACATGCGGCTCTTTGGCCCCTTGAGTGTGGCTCTTCCACAAAATACCGACTTCTGCTCATGGGCCATGAAGTTTCAATCGCACTGTACATGCATGCCCGCACGTGGTATTTTGTGGAAGAGCCACACTCAAGGGGCCAAAGAGCCGCATGTAGCTCGAGAGCCGTGGTTTGCCGACCACTGCACTAGCCCCACCCTCATGCCTCCTGGTGGCACTGTCCTACCAGCCTAGGACTCCTGGGAGAATCTGGGACAGACTGAGCTAAGTGACTCTAGGATGGAGGCCATCATATTTCCTTTCCTCACCTGACTCATGCAGAGCCTCCCTTCACATGGCTAAATCTCGGTCTGTTTGGGCCTGATAAACTCTGTTGACATCACCCTGATGACTCCCTGAAACCCTGCCCCAGCACAAAGGTCTGTGGGCACATGGCAGGCAGCAGCTGGACTTGGTGCATCCTGGGACTTTGGCTGAGTGGCCTCAGACCCAGCACTGGCACTGAGCTTGAGACTGTATCAATTTGGTGAACATTACTCACCCCTGTTGGTGACTCACTGAGAACCTGCACTATGCAACTCGAATTTCACCAGAAGTTCTTTCAGAGACCAAGCCAAACAGGTAGCCGGCAAGCAAAGGCAGGTGTAGGTAGATCTCGTGGTGTTTGGGACTTTTCCTGATCTGCCCACGTGCTCAGTGCTGGTGGAACCAACCTAGATGTGCAGTTTGGTCATTCCCACACACACCAATGCCCAGCAGAGGCAGCCACAAAGTGTAAATAGCTTTGTAACTCCAAACAGGTTTTCCAGGACTAGACACAGGCAGTGACTGACATGACCACCACAGTCCCTCCCAAAGGCCAGTGGCCAGCTTCAGACAACATCAAAGTAGAATCCAATTAGTTTCATAGGTGGGATATCCAAAGGGAGATCTTGACAGACACCAGACCGTGCTGAGGTGAATTCTGCTTCCTGTCGTGAGCACCTGCTCGACAGCTCCTTCACTGTGGTTGGGGTCAATCCTCACAGTCAACCAGCCCAAGTTTACTCCACATTCGAACAGGCCAATAGAAATCAAGACTCAATAACAACACGAGGGCTCACATAACTCACACAAGAGGCGTTTCTAGAGTACCAGGCTTAGATGATCAAGGGGACTGCACCGTTGGGTCCCATAAGACATCTACTACATAAGGCCACACTATCAAGAGAGGGAGAGATAGCAGATCTACCTTGTACACAGTAAGAAAAACACACAGAGAGGCAGCCAAAGCAGGGAAACAAAGAAACATGTCAAAAAGGAAAGGCAGGATAAATCTCAAAAAAGAAAAAAAGAAAAAAAAACCTAAATGAAATAGAGGTAAGCAATTTGCCAGACACAGATTAAAAAAAAAATGGTTATAAGGATGTTCAAAGAACTTAGTGAGAATTTCAACAGCATGAAAAAGGACATAGAAATCATGGAAAACAACCAGTCAGAAATGAAGAATACAATATTTGAAATAAAGAATACACTAGAAAGAATAAAGAATAGGTTGGATGAAGCAGAGGACTGAATCAGTGATTTGGAACACAACAAGAGAGAAGAAAACACCAAACCAGAGCAGCAAAAGAAAAAAAGATTTAAAAAGAATGAGGATAGGTTAAAAGGGAACTTTGGGACAACATGAAATGTAACAACATTCACATCATAGGAGCATCAGAAGGAGAAAAACAGGAGTAAGGGGTAGAGAACCTGTTAAAAGAAATTGGCAGAAAACTTCCCTAACCTGGTGAAGGAAAAATTCATACCAGTTCAAGAGGTACAGGTAACCAAAAGAGATGAACCCAAGACACATACACCAAGACACATCATAATTGAAATGGCAAAGATTAAAGAGAGAGAAAATCATAAAGGCAGCAAGAGAGAAACAGTCAGTTACCTATAAGGGAGCTCCCATAAGACTGTCAGATGATTTCTCAGCAGAAACACTTCAGGACAGAAGAGATTGGTATGAAGTACTCAGAGTAATGAAAAGCAAGGACTTGAATCCAAGACTACTCTATCCAGCAAGGCTAACATTAAAAGCTGAAGAAGAAATAAAGAGCTTCCCAGACCCCCCCAAAAAGGAAAAAAAGGCTAAAGGAGTGCATTACTACCAAACTAGCATTGTGAGAAAAGTTAAAGTCACTATTTAAGAAGAAGAAATACGATTAGAGAGGAATATAAGTATAAAGAAAATATGACAATAAATAAGTCCTCATGGATAATAAGCTAAAATGTAAATGGATTAAGTGATCCAATCAAAACATATAGCAGTGTGGATAACAAAACAATCCATAGCAGTGTGTATAACAAAACATGACCCATATATATGCTATCTACAAGAGACTCACTTCATAACAAAAGACTCACACAGGATGAAAGTGAAGTGATGGGAAAAATTTTCCATGCATTTGGAAATGAAAAAAAGAGCAGGGGTGGCAATACTTACTAGTATATCTGAGAAAACAGAGTTCAAAACAAAGGGCATAGCAAAAGACAAAGAAGGTCACTACATAATACTAAAGGGATGGATCCAACAACAGAATGTAACTTAGGTAAACACATATGTACCCAATATAGGAGCACCTAAAAAAATATATATTTAAAACTCTTGAAGTACTTAAAGGGAGAGATTGACAGCAACATAGCCACAGTGGAGGACTTTAACACATTGCTGACATCACTGGTAAGTCTTTGAGACAAAAAAAATCAACAAGGAAACAGCAACTTTAAAGGACACAATGGATCAGATGGATTTAATTTATCTTTCCAGAACATTTTATCCCACAGCAACAGAATATACATTCTTCTCAAGAGCACATGGAGCATCGTCAAAGACAGACCTCGTGTTAGGACACAATATAAGTCTTACCAAATTTAAGAAGATTGGAATCATATGCAGCATCTTCTCAGATCACAACAGCATGAAACTAGAAATCAGCTACAATAAAAAAAAACACCTCAAAAACATTCAAACACATGGAAGCTAATAGCATGCTCAATGGTTGCCAGTGAAATCGAAGAAGAAATAAAAAATGACCAGCAAACAAATGAAAATGAACACACAACAACCCAACATCTATGGGACACAGTGAAAACAGTTCTGAGAGGAAAGTTCATAGCATTTCAGGTCTACCTCAAGAAGCAAGAAAAATCTTGCAAAAGCCATTTCACCATACATCTAAAAGAACTATAAAAACCCCACAGTAAGTAGAAGGAAAGAAATACCAAAGAGCAGAGCAGAAATAAATAATATAGACATGAAAAAAATACAAAAGATGAATGAAACCAGAGCTGGTTCTTTGAAAAGATAAACTTGATGAACCTTAAGCCAGACTCATCAGGAAACAAAGAGAGAGGACCGAAATATATAAAAGCAGAAATGAAGAGGCCAAGTAACAACTGACATCACAGAAATACAAAGAATAGTAAGAAAAGACAATGATCAACTATACACCAATAAATTGGGCCAAATGAACAAATTTCTAGAAAAATACAATCTTCCAAAACAAAATCAGGAAGAACTAGGAAACCTGAGTAGACTGATATTAACTAATGAAATGGAAGTAGTAATTTTTAAAAAATCCCAGCAAACAAAAGTCCTGGACCAGATGGTTTCACAAGTTACCAACATTTAAAGAAGAACTAGCACCTGTCGTCCTCAAGGTATCCCCAAAAAATTGCGGGGCGGGAAGACTTCCAAGCTCTCTTTACGAGGCCAGCATCACCCTAATTCCAAAACCCATAAAGACTCCACCAGGAAAGGGTCAGCTGCATGTCCCTTACTAATGCTCTTCTCTCACAGAAGCGTCTGCTAACAGAGGGTAGGGTCTGCCTCCCCAGAGCAGCACCACGGGTAGAGTCTCTGAGTCCTGCCACAGTCCCCCAGCTTCTCTGCGTTGGGTCTTGCCCCACGCAGGCCGACTCTGTCCCAGGCCCACCACAGGCGCTGGGATCGCCAGCTGACAGCTTTTTCCTGGCATCAGTGCTCATGCACCCCGTTCTCTCATACAAGTCCCTGTGTCTGTAGCTCACAGTGCTGGGAGCGGCACTCCCAGAGAACTCTCCCCACACCCCACCCCCACCCCCATGGATGGTGGATCGCATTTCATTCCTCCATCTACATATTCCAGAGCCCTCAACTCTCAGTTAACCAGTGGTTGGTGAATCTCCCCTCTGTGTCTCTAGTCTTCTCCCAGTATTCTAGCCATTTCCCTGTTTGGGGGTGTCTCTCCCAGCATGTGGGCGGAGACATGGTTAGAAGAGAAGTCCAAGCGTAGGGCTTAGAATGGAAAGAGACTTGGGTGGCGATGTCAACGTGGGAACGAGAAAATACTGAGCAGCCACAGCGTGCCAAGCTCTGTACGAGAAATCGCATGTGTGGTTGTTCTACATGCGATTATTCAACAACATGACAGCCTCCGAAGGTCCCACTCACCTCCCTCTTTTGCAGGTGAGGAGAGTAAGGTCCAGGGCTCGAGGAACAGGGAGGGGACAGGCTCTCGCCGCTGCTCATAGCTCTGCTCTCCTGCTCCCTCCCCCCAGGGCTCAGCACAGGAGCCACATCCACCCTCCAGCCCCAGAGTCCTGCCTCCTCGACAGTTTCACCCATTTAACGAAAAGAGAAAATAAAGCTCAAAAAGGCCACTCAGTGCCCGTCGTGGCACAGGTGCTGAGCAGCTGTGACCCGGCCCAGATCCTCTCCACCAGATGCTAACTGGCCTCGGCTTCTCCCAGAGCCTGAGCCCTCGGGTGCACCTGGATGGGAGTGTGGGGGGGGCGGGAAACCGAGGAGGGTTAGCTGGAAGGCGGTGTTTATTCTGTGGGCCTCCGGCTGGCTCCCTTTGGTCCCCACTGGCACATAGAAGCCGACCTTGTTTATTTTGCTACTTGAGAACAGTTCAAAGGGGGAAATCCATAGACAGATGCAGGCCCTCCCTCTGAGGAGAGAGGAGGCCGCCCCAGCCTGGCCCCCCTGTCTGAAGAAGTCTGCTGTCTCACAGGCGGATGGGACTCTCCCTGCTTCCTGCCCCTCTCCCTGCCTGTCCCCACCTCACCCGGGTGGGCGCTCTGCCATCCGCCCAGCAGCCGCCCCCGAAGAGCAGGTTTATTCAGAGAAACTTGGAAGCCATTTGGCAAGAGGAAAAGGAAGCCATTGTTAGCTTGCAGTTGGAGTCACATAACCTTTTCTTTCTAAAACATTTACATTCACATCCACGCCTCCCGTTGCTACAGGACATTAGGAATCTGCCCGACACCCGGACGATAGGAAAGAGCCGCGCAGTCAGCAGAGCTGCTGGCCTGAGTGGGATGTCGGCGCCCCTTTCCTTCTTAAAAAAAGTCTGACTGTGAGCAAGAAAGAATCTCCTTCAGAAAGGAGAGTGGGAAAGCATGAAGCTCCTTTTTGCTGCAGATGTTATGCCCCTCACCCCGGAATGCAGCAGTAGGGGGCGCTACTGAGCCCGTTCCAGCTGGAAAATGCGAGCCTCCATCTACAAGGACACGCACAGGGCCCACAGGGCCCACAGGGCCGGGCAACACGGTGTGAACTCCCAGGGGACTCTCACCCCGCCGCCTGACTCCTCCCTTTGCACGGAAAGAAAGACTGCCCCAGGGAGCCTAGCCCAGCAGCAGCCCTGGTGAGAGCGCCCTTCCGACGGGGACCTGCTGGCTCCATGGGCCCAGGAAGGCAGGCCAGGAAGTGGCATGCACTCCTCTGTCCTGCCTCTCGTTGAACATGTTGCATCCATTTGAACCACAACACTTTTTTTTAAAGAAAGAAATCCCAGCATTGGCGTCAGGTCTGCTCGGTGACCTCTGTGATGACCTCCCCGGTGGGGGATTAAGGACTGCAGGCGATTTCAGCCATCAACCCCTCGGGGTCTTGGTTATTGTTACTTGAATAAATATCTGGTTGCGATGAGTCTTCATGAACAAACATGAAAGCTGGGGCCCCCACACGTTGAGGAGCTGCTGTGGCCTCTTGCTCAGCCTCCTGCGTCACTGCACCTGCCTGCACCCGGGACAGCGGCAGGGCCATTGCATTTACCAAACAGGCCGGCAGAGCAGGGCCTCTGGCTTCAGGCGGGAGCGGGGGGCTCTGCTGTCTGGGCAGCGGAACTGGGCTCTCACTGCCCGGCTGACTGCGGAGGCCACAGCCCTCCCGGCGCCTTGCAGGGCACCTCTGAGACAACCATCCGCTTGGAGGTTTCTCTGTGGATGCAGCAACGGGATGGGTGGTGGGGACTGTCAATCAAAGCCTGCACTGGGTGGTGGGTGTGACTGTGTTCACACCATCTCCACGGCGTGGCCACGTGGCTACCACTTTTCAACCAGGTCCGTGAGAAACTAAACTTACTCTCTCCCTAGTTACTCCTGCATTTGCACGTGTGTGTGTGTGTGTGTGTGTGTGTGCGCGCGCACACACCCCGGCGTTTAGCGGGAAACAGGACTATAAATGCACTTTAAGACGCACAGCAGACAGACACTGTGTTAACGAGGGAGCCAGGGCAGCTCCCTCACAACATGTAACTCAGTCAAGAATTTTACAAGCTCTTTGTGAGGCAGGGAGAGCCATGCACCCTGCGGTACCGGCAGCCCCCAGCAGAGCAGCAGGCCTGGGAGAGTTTCCCAGGGACCCCGCGCCCGCCCTGCGCCGGTGGCGGTGTCTCACCTTGACTTTCCCGTAGCTCCCTTTGGGGATGAGGATCTTGTAGCCGTTCACCTCCACGGAGAGCTCCCTCAGCGTGGAGACGGCCTTGCCGGCCCGGCGCTCGTTCTTGGCCTCCACGCTGAAGAAGGGGAGGTGGGCCGCCCGCACGCAGTGCCGGGCCAGCAGGTAGGCGCAGGAGCCCTGGAAATGGAAGACGAAGCCGTCGAAGGTGCGGTAGTGCGGCTCCCCGAACACCACGCAGGTGCCGGTCTCCACGGGGCTGCAGGAGGAGAACTTGCCTTTGGGCTCGCACACCTCATAGGGGCTGCAAGCGGCCTCCTGGCAGTAGATCTCATTGTTGAAGTCCAGGCAGCGGCACTTGATGGTGCAGTTCAGGTCCTCCCAGAACACCTCCCCTCGCCGCAGGAACTGCCCTGGGACAATGACAGAGAGCGTGTTTGCCGAGGGCTCTCCATCGGCGAAGGCCTGGGCCCAGTGCTGGACAGTGTGACACCCTCTATGCCACCACAGCACCTTAGGGATAAGTGTTGTTGCCCTCCCCTGACAAGTGAGGGATGAGGCTTAAGAGAAACTGAGTCACTTTTCCAAGATCACTCAGCAACTCAGTGGGGAAGCCAGGGTCCACGCGAGTCCGTCCGTATCCAGCCGAAGCTCTTGGCGTGACCCTTTCCATGCTGGTGCGCAAGCCTCGTTTGAGGAAAGGCACCCTGTCTGAGTCCACAGGAAAGGCTGGCTCGCAGGAGTTGGCCTTCCTCCCCATGGAAGGCTGGCTCACCAGGGACAGCAACCTTGCTCGCTGGCTCCCTCAGCCATCTGTGGGGCCCAGAATGTGCCAGAAAAGGTCAACAGCACCAGGAGTCAATGCACACATGTAAATGCGTCTTCCTGAGGAGATTCTAGAAAGGGCTGACCTCTGGCTTGGCACCTTCCAAGGCTCATAAATTCTGCAGACACTAACTTACAGCTACAAACGTGGTCCTCTCTCACTCCAGGCCCTGCTAGTCCCATGTTTCCCCGCCTGTTTCGGCCTCTATCACGGACGGAATCGCGGACAGAACTTGTCCACGGGATCTAGGTCGGGAGGAGTCTGAAGTGGGGGAGCAGAATGGTTTCAAAGGATGTGTTAATTTTTTTAAAAATATATTTTTATTGACTTCAGAGAGGAAGTGAGAGGGAGAGAGATAGAAATATCAATGATGAGGGAATCATTGACTGGCTGCCTCCTGCACACTCCACACTGGGGATCGAGCCTGCAACCCGGACATGTGTTCTGACTGATCCACACTGGGGATCGAGCCTGCAACCCGGACATGTGTTCTGACTGGGAATCGAACTGTGACCTCCTTGTTCATAGGTGGACACTCAACCCCTGAGCCACACTGGCTGGGCTAATCTTTAAAGTATTCACTACTATTTATTTGGTAGACAATCAGTCTTTAAAACCACTTTCCTAAAGAAATTATCTCCCCAATCAAATTTTTGAAATTTGCCAGTTGTTAATATCAACTTTCAATTGAAATAGGAGCACCTTAGGGCTGAGGGCTGAGAGTCTTTGGTTGGGGGCAGAGTCAAGAGAACTGGGCAACCTCTCTGACTCCGGCCTTAACGCCCACCTGCCTCAGCTTTCCAACCTGCAATATGGGAACAGCACTGTTTCCTCTCCCTGCCTCATGGGACCCGTGAGACTATAAAAACCTGGCACACACGGATGGAGGAGGGGCATTTGTAAACTGAGAATGTCTGATAGGAAAGATAAATAACGCCGTATACCAAGAGTAAGCATAGTTTGAAATTGTAGTTTAAAAATATTTCTCAAGTTTTTATAAAACTGACTACTGTACAGGTTAACCGAGCAGAAGGCATGGTGCCAGCAGCCCTCCCGTCTCCGTCCGGCAGGAGCAGCTCCGTCTCAGCAGGCGATGATGCTGATACCTGCTGAGCAGAGGCCCGACGGGGTAACAGATGGGCCCACCTCCCAGCAGGTCACATGCATCAGCTGAAAAGGCCCCTTCACCTCACAGCCTGGGCACTGGTCCCAACAGCAGCCTCCATGCGGAGTAGCTGCCAGTGCCTGCCTTGTCAGGCTTCCAAAGGGCGGGGGGCGGGGGCAGGGGGGAGACAAATGCCTTGGAATAGAGGACATTTGGGCCAAAAGGTAGAATCGCTGAGATCATTTTCTTTGCAAAATGATGACATAATAACCCAGCTCCACATCACACTTCCCTCCTCACGCAGGGCAACCCCAGGCTCACAGACTGATGCATGCCCAGCGGCACATAAAGATGCACAGCATCGGCATAGGGTGTAGCATTCGTCCTGGATACAAAGCCCAAACCGTAACAGGGGAAGGAGTGAGGTCGAAGTGGGGTCTGCATGCAGCTGGCCTGTGTGTCCCGTCACCACAGCCAGTGGCTGTCGCCACCACCGAGGTCACACAGCCGCGCCAGTCGGCTCTGCAAGGAGTGGACGGAGGGTGCGAGGTGCTGTGGCCACCAGCCCAGGCCGTGGAGGGGAGAGCCCACTGGGTGCTGGTTTGGTCTTTTCCAGACCGTGAGCGAAGCTGCAGTCCACTCTGAGGGCAGGAGCACAGCCGGAGCCCTGTGTGCCCAGGAGCCAGGGTGTCCGTCTGGCCCCGCCCAGCTGTGCTCTGACACACTCATCCGCTGTCTCAACCTGAGGACTTCGCAGTCCTGACACACCTGACCCCCGCGGGGACTGGCAGAGTGTGGGCTTCAGGCAGGCGGATGGGCTTTCCTGGGTATTAAACAACCTGGCACTGGGCCAGGAGAGCAGCCCGCTGCCTCCTGAGGCTGCCGAGACACGCGGTCACCAGGAGGCAGGAGAGCTCCTGAAACCTTCCTCCCGGCCCAAGGCCTTGCATGGATCTGACCTCCCCGCACCCTCTGCCACCCAGTGCCGGCCTGTGTCTGTGCAAATACATCTTCAGCCCGTCACCCGTGTTCCAGGGGAACCCCGTGGTGGCCAGCACCTCCCTGGGCTCTCGGAATGTTCTGGAGAGATGCAATGGCTGGATGGCTGAGTGCATGGGAGGGTGGATGTTTACTAGTTCTAGTTGCTATCGCCTCCACTCCTCCGAGCAGAAGTGTGAACAGAAACCCTGTTTCCAGAAGACTCTTAGACACACACGAAGCAGGAGTCTGCAGCCGGGTGTTCCTGAGCCCTGGCCGCTCTGCACGCCGAGGGAGGTGTCCGGCCTGACTGTAAGGGGCCCGTGAGGAGCGCCCACAGCTTGCTCCCCGTGTGCAGCCGGCTTCCTTCTGTCTAGCATGTGTTCCAGGTCCGCACGCCCGGTCCTGGCGCAGGGGGCAGGCAGGAGCCGGCGGAGGAACGGTGAAAGGGGAAGGACCACGGCGTGGCTGATGTTAACCAGGGCTCCCTCCTGTCCCTCTGGCTGGGACCTCACTCAAGACCCTCATCCACGTTGTGGCTGTTCTGAGCAGCGAGCTGTGCTCACCCCCCAGGCAACCCCTCACAAACCGCAGTGTCGGATGCAGGAGGCCTCTCGGTCTAAGGAGCCTGTGTGCTCGCATCACCCTGACCCATTGTCCGCTGAGAGGTGTCAAAGGAGGCTGGCATCAAAGTGTCTGCCCTCAGGGCCAAAACGCCTGCCTGTCCATCTAAACTCCACAAACTGCGTTGCCATAGAGACAGGAACAGCCTTACCTCTGGAGGTGCAGCCATTGGCCGGATCAATCTCTTTCCCGTCCACTTTGAACGCCCAGCGGCCGGGAACGTTGACGTTCGTGGTCTCCTGGATGTTCACAATGTCGGGGGTTCTGGACCCCGGGAGGCTGAAGAAGTTGCTGAGGTTCCCACCGTTAAATCCTGCCTGAAGCGCAGAAGGGAGACGAGCCTGAGCACAAACACTACCCGCTGGTTAACCTGCCCGAACACCTTCTCCCGACACAGCCTGCTTCGTTCATGCTGCACCAGATCAGGGTATCAGTGATGGACAAGACTAGCCTCCCAGTCTCCACAACCACCAGACATCCTTCCCTCCTTAAGAGCTCTGGGCAGGACTCCCTCCAGGACGCATGGCAGAGTGCCTCCACCTGTGCCATCACCCCCCCCCAAGTCAGTCAGGGGCCCCCACCTGTGCCATCACCCCCTGAGACAGTCAGGGGCCCCCACCTTGCCATCACCCCCTGAGACAGTCAGGGGCCCCACCTGTGCCATCACCCCCTGAGACAGTCAGGGGCCCCACCTGTGCCATCACCCCCTGAGACAGTCAGGGGCCCCACCTGTGCCATCACCCCCTGAGACAGTCAGGGGCCCCACCTGTGCCATCACCCCCCAAGTCAGTCAGGGGGCCCCCACCTGTGCCATCACCCCCTGAGACAGTCAGGGGCCACCCACCTGTGCCATCACTCCCCCAAGACCTGTCAGGGGGTCCCCGCCGCTTGCTGTCCCCGTTGTCCAGTTGATTTCATAGTAATTGAAGAGCGTGAATGTGTGAGAGCCATCGGACACCAGGACGGCCTGGAAGGTGTTCACCTGCAGGTGGGAATAGATGGGCGGTGACTCCCACTGCCCAATGGCAGCTCCCTGCACTCTGCCCCCTCCCTGCCCCCAGCAGCTCAGGGCTGTGCCCGGCGCTCACGCTCTGCATCCTCTCTGAATGTGTCCTCGCCTCGAGTGGGGAAAGCAAGGCGTGCGGGACAGTGCGCAGGACAGAGAGATGCCTGAGAACCACCTAGAGGCCGGCTGGGGCAGCTCCCCAGGCTCTGACCGCCTCAGACCCTGAACGCTGAGCTCGGCTCAGCTGTGCCGATGTGCAAGCAGATGGCGGCAGGAGAATAAGCTGC